TTGGATAATATAACGATGATTGCTAGGCATTTTATTTAAAAAAAAAAATTTTTTTATGGGAATGCTATGCTTTATCATCTATTAGTACAATTTTTAAATGATTGCCACTAGTGTTGTCAAATCCCTCTAGCCAATTTTTTTTTATTAAAATGGTTAAATCAAGATTTTAGTTTAAAAAAACAATATCATCTATACGAAGAAAGTTTTTCTGGAATATAAATTTATCCGGAATGCGAAGGATAGAAATCTCTTAAAAGATCATCATCTAATAGAGCGATTTTTTAAATTTGAAAAATGTAATTTTTTGCCAACCCCATTTCAGACAATTTGAACATTTATGTATGATTTTTTTAATTTACATGAAAAATTCATAAAATAGAATAAGAGTATATTTATAAGGTAAGTGCACTAAACATGCTTGGAATATATTTCCTGTAAAAAAACAGTTTTTTTTGTTTAAAATTAAAAATCTCTCCTAGTTAAAATGATTTCAAGTCTCGCCGTATCCCGATATAAATTTGCGATTAATATATATGTTTTCCGGGAATGTGTTATTATATCAACTTTAAATCATATTTTGATGGCGCTTTTTTTAAATTTAAAAATCTGATTTTATCGAAGAAATACTTACCCTATGAAATTTTGAACTTAATATAATTTACACTAGTTTTTCCATAGATATTTTATATAAATTATAAATGGCTCAAAGGCTACCGGCAAAATTGTCTACGCTATTCTAAGCATGCTGAAATATATTTCCCCTGAAATCAGAATTTTAAATTTAAAAAAAAAGTTCTCAAAAAAAGATTTAAAGTTGAAAAAAATAACACATTACCGGGAAAAACACATTGACGCTAACATATACATTAAATTACAAAAAAAATGTCATAATAGATTTTTATACTAGAAGAATATCCAGTTATCAGGAGGGTATAAATTAAAGACTAAATGACAAAGATTATTTTTTTTTCCCTAAACAGATTTCAAAAGTCTGTCACGCATCCAAACCTACTTTAGAGGATAGAACGATTTTTATAAATAGAGAGCCGAAAGATTTTTTTTAAAAAAATAAAAAAAATTTTTAATAGCCCACAAAGGTAAAAAAAAATAAAAATAAAATAAGAATATAAGAATTATAATTAGAATAAGAATCAATAATTAAAAATATTTTGTTTAGAAAATAATCGATAAAAACATTTTTTTTTCTTTTGGTTTTGCCTATCTATTTATAATAAATATCTTAATTTTGTTTTTTTTTTATTTCGCTTCGATATGAAAAACAAAAAAGAAATAAAAACATAAGATTTAACCAAAAAAAAATTTATATAAAAATCAAGGTAATAGGTAAACCGTAAAACGTTCATTTAAAAAAATAATAATATACTTATATTGGAAAAAAAAATATTTCCCTCCTCCTACCTTATCCTCTTTATATATAAAAAAAATATTTATAAATATAAATAGAGAAAATAATTTACTATTCCTAATTTGTATCGATTTTGAAATAATTTTTAAATTTTAAATATTTATATTATTATAATTTTTATAATATAATAAATAATATTTTTGCCATAGTTTTATGACTTATAAAAAAAACAATAAATTGATAATTTAGCAAAAAGAAAGATTGTCTATTCCGCAAAAAAAAACAAAAAAAAAACTACCAATTTATAAGAGCGGCATTGTGTTTCCCCGGCAATGTGTTATTTTTCCAATTTTAGTGCGTTTTTTTTTATATTTTTAAAATCTGATTTTTTCTTGAAATATATTATAGCATGTTTAAGAATACCTATCTTAGGGAATTGTAGGAAATTTTGCCGCTAACCTTTTTTGGGTCATTTATAATATAAAAATATCTATAGAAAAACGCATATAAATTAAATCAAGTAGAAAGACAAAATTGTCTGAAATTCATAAGGTAGGTATTCCAAACATGATGGAATAATTTCTGATAATATCATTCTTAAATTTAAAAAGAGGCGCTCAAAATTGCTGCTAACATATATATAATTGAGATATGCAAAGCCCGATCCGTTAAAAAGTCAAATTTCTTAAAAAAATTATAAAGGACTTGCTCGGGCAATAATATTTACAAACATAAAAAATAACGGGCTGAACCGGATATTCCAAGCATAAAAAGTCTGGGTTAGTTCTCACAAATCTCTGGTTTCGAATTTGATTCATATTCTTTGAAATAACAATAAAACAATGAGCTTATTTCTTTTCGTTGTATTTAAAGAACTGTTCTAACTAAATTAAATCTATAAAAATAAAAATAAAAAATTGATCCCCTATTTTACAGAAAATTATAGGCAAGACCGAACATTTTGTAAATTTTAATGGGGGCCAGCTCGGGCATTTAAAATTTTGAGAAGTATTTTGTTTAGTTTCAAAGTTAATATTTGAATAATACTAATTTGAAAATAATATATAATATGCTTATTTCGCTGAATTTTAAGAGCTGTCTAAACTAAAATGATAAATATATAAATAAAATAGTAAATTCGCAAAATTAAAATATAAGTTATTTATGATCAGAATTGGATAAATTCGGATATAAAAAAATACCAATACTCTTCAAAAATTATCATTTAAATATTAGTGTTATTAAACGGCTCGATTTTTTATATAATTAAGCAAGTTTGGAGATTTTCCTCATAGATAGCAGAATGGTTTGGACATCTATTAACGAAATCTCGAAACTAGCATAACTTTTTTTAGCCAAAATATTGGATTAGCAGTTTTTAAAAATCCGTCCGTTTAACAAAACTATTAAATATAAATGCAAATACTTTTAAATAAATGATGTATTTTAAATATAAATTTCTAAATACCTGCAAAAAAATTTTTAAAAAAGTAATTCAGTACAAATACTTTGGCTAAAATATTTTTCTAAAATAAATACTTTGATGAATACTTTTTACAAGTGGATTTTTTTTAGCATTTATATTTCTTTGGGTCCACTTTTAAATAAACTCTACACTAATAATTTTATAAAAATTATCGAAACTAAAATAATCTACCTCAATATAGGAAGATGAGAGTATTTGCTTGCTTCATTTTCCCATTTTCAATTATGAATTAAGAGGGCTATCCAAAATCATATTCATTATTTCTCACACTACATGCTACTAAGCTATTTTTAAAAACAGGGGTGTGAGAGAGTTTCTAAAAAGACCCTTGTCATAATTCCATCAAAATTCCTAAATGACATGAAAAGGGTGTGGACGTTGTTAGTGTTAAAGATTATCTGCTAAAATTATCCTATAAACATAATAGCTTTATAATAAAAAAAAGGCCTCATTCTACTTCTATATCATTATCTTCTTCAAAAAAATTTATATCATTGGTTTCAATCAGCCATTTTACGTAATTTTAGTGTAGAAATTAAAAAACCAAGAATTTACTAACAATTTGTGTGAAATATGTAGGGGCAGGTATTATACATATACCGGATAATATATTTTCGGTAACATCAGATATTCAAATTTCTAATACTTGATTAGCAGATTATTTAAACTATTTTATTTATTTTTCAAAATTAAATCATTTATTCGTGCGTTTTCTTTATTTTCAATAAAACTGTGATTTTTTATGATATTAAACACATTGTTTGATTTTACACATTGCTGGTATTAGTGTTGATAAAAGCCTGATTTAGGTGGATTTTTAAAAACGTCCCGATTAAGATTTTATCCAAAATAATATTATGCAGGCCTCAGGATAGATGTCCAAACCTTTCCGCCAGCTATGAGTAAAATTTTCAGGCTTACATAATATTATTTTGGCTATAACCTTAACTGGGCCGTTTTTAAAAATCGACCCGATTCGGGCTTTTTAACAACACTAGCTGGTAACATATTCTTTACTAGGATTTTTAGGGATTTGTAGTATATATAATAAACAAAAATGTTGTTTTCGTAAAAAAAATGGTTTACTTATCTCCGAGTATATTATTATAGTAGAGATAACTATGTAGTAGCTTAGATAGGCTAATAATATAATACTTACAAATTGGGGCGTTTTCGTAGAACCCTTCGATTTAATAATTTAAATAAAAATATATTAATTCAAATTTTATCTTAAAAAAAATATTATTACCTAAACTTCGAGAATTCGCAAAAAAAAAATTGCATTAGCAAAACGTTTTGATTTTGCGTTTAAAAAAAAACTCACCAATTTAAACAGCTAAGAGTTTTATAGAAAATACAAAAAATTATTACTACTTTTCAATTTGTAAGCAAATAGAATGACTAACTCTTTTTTAAACGTTTTTTTTTTGTTTTTTATATTTTCAGTTTATTTTGTCATGTCTTGGTTCATCTTATTTTTCTTTTAAAACCTATTTCTATTTAGACCAGTTCTATTCATATTTTTACCTATAAACCCCCTATTTTGTTTTGTTTTAAGTGTGCACACCTCTAAATATCCTCTTTGTTTCTTTTTTCGGTTTAAAGGTTAAGCTATATAGACGGCTAAACAAATTTCTATTTAGGAATAAGAACTAGTCAGAATACGACCGATGGTAATAATTTATAAATAAATTAATATATTTTAACTATATTAAAAAATATAAAAATTTAATCATGAATTTTTATTTTTCTGTTATTTATTTTATTTTTTATATATTTTTTTATTATAACCAATTTTTATTTTTTTCATATAATATTAAAATAAAATAATCAATAGACTTTTTTAGATATAATTTTTATTAAAATTTATATTCCCCTAAAAAAAATCTCAAATTGAAAAAATAAAATAAAATAAAATTGTGATATTTTAAGTTTTTTAAAAAAATAATAAAAAGGAAAAACTATTTTTTTTTAAATATTTACCAGGAAAATCCCGATATCATGATAACTATAAATGAAAATAAAATTAATATCCATTTCATATATGTGTATAAGAGATACTGTACAAATATAAATTCAAATTCGTTAAAAAAACAAAAAATTTGTAAAGAAGGATGATGTAATATTTTGCTTTCCGTGGCTAAAAGAAAAGTTTACAAACCTTTGAAAATGTCCAAATTCCCTGATATTCAGTGTAATTCTATAATTTTTCGCCTATAGGAATTATAATGTGAGAACCATTTAAATTTAATATTTTACAAAATAAAATGAATATATATATTTATTTAATTATTTTTTTTTAAAAAAAAAGAAAGAAATATAATTTTATTAATTTTTTCTGTTGAATTCTTTCTTTATTTAAAGTATAAATAATAATTAATGATAAGGGCGTATTTTTAGTCAAAAACCCACTTGTTTTTTAAAAATTATTTTAACCCGCCCTCCAGCTTAATGTTTAATAATTATTTTTATGGAAGGTTTAGTGCCTTTTTTGTTTATTTTAATGTATTTTTAATTAAACATATATAATATGCAATATTATAAACTATCATTTTTAGTGAAATATGGGCAGGCGGAACCCTCCCAATGCAGACCTCTAATACATGTTGCAATATATATTTATATTTATATTCATTATAATATATATTTATTAGTTGAAAATAAAGAATATAATTAAGAGATAAGTAAAAATCGCCAAATATTTTGAATTGCTTATATTTCCTTAAAAAATTTAAGGCAATATTTAAAATATATGGATGGTGGGGAAGTATACTTATATTAAAATTGAGTTTTTAAAAATTCGTCAGAAATGGGGAAAACATCTTCAATATTCCCAAAACATTGGATTTTTATAAAAATATTTCTATATTTAAAAAATTGACATGTTGAATATATTGATTAATCACAAATATATTCTTAAGATATTGCATTTATATAAACGGGCAGATTTGCCAAAAAAATATGTACAACCTCCTTTGGGATTGAGCTAATTTTTCAATTATTTCACCCAGGCGCCTAACCAAGGGGTGAGAAATTTTCAACCCCATCTGAAATTTTTCCATTCTCGTATATATCATTTTAAGCTAATAAAATTCCTTACACGCCTCTACCTCCCTCCCCCAAAAAAATGTATATACAATATATTATATCACTACAAAAACTTGAAAAAATAAGTAAAAGTTAATAATTTTTTTAAATAACCACTATAATTCAAAATTTTTAGAAAAAAGGGATTTTTATATAAAAAAAAATGAATATTATATAAAAAAAATGAATAACCAAAATGATTTCTATAAATATATAACATAACCAAATCCCCAATAAAATTTATTATTTCATCAGTATTTCATGTGAAATCCTTAGGCAAATTTAGAAGTGCTAACTCTCAATCAATTTTTCAAGGAAGAGTACTTCCTAGAGAAGAAGAAAAAAAAATATGTTTGTTTATTACTGCAAGTCCTAATAAATAGTTATAAAAATGTATAATAATTTTAATATATTTAGAAAAATTCTTAGATTTTTAAGGATCGCTTGATGAATCAATAAGCTTTCATTTTATCTGATTATATATAAAGGGGGGGGGGGTAGAAATTTATACGAATTGAACTAAGTGAATATCAAATTCATAAGCAATTCATAATTTTTGAAATTCCTAGCCAAAAATTACCTTAATTTCTTTAAACTCTTATAAAATACTTACTAAGATTACCATAGTCAATGTTTTGAATGAGATTGCATAAAATGCTAGGGTTGCCTTTAAATAATTTTTTGACACATTCTAAATGCAAGGAAGAAAAAAATTGGGGTCTTCTTCTTGAGGAGATGTCTTTTTTTAGAATAATATTCTGACATGTCAAGGTGACCGCTTAAATAAGGAAACATTTTTATAATTATTATATAAAATCTGCAATTTATGACTTGTGGGGAGGGGGAATTTCAATCCTTTGATTAGCTGATAATTAAATTATCATAATATGATTTATAAGTATTTAAATTTATACATAATTATCTGCTAGTCAAATTGCAAAAAAAAATAATTTATTTCCTATTTTATTGGTGAGGATAAATAAAAAAAACATTATACTTCGGCCGTTATTAGTGGTGGGATTGGAATTCGAATTCAACCTTTGTCAAGCAAATTCGTTTGTTACGTAAAATATGTAAAGTGGTCATCTAAGAGAGGATTTCTTGATTATTTGTTTTTTTATATTCCTTTTGATAAAAAAAAGACAATTACTTATAAATATTTTGTTTGAAATTTGCTATTTTTTCATTAATCCTTGAAGTTATAAAATTGCTTTTATATCATAAGATGTTCATCGATAATATTCTTAAGCCCCGTTTTTTTTAAAGAAAAAAAATATAACTATTAAAGGAATAATTTTTATTGTTAAAGAAATAATAAGGAAGGGGAAAAGGATGAATTATAGAAATTAAATGAAAATGAAATTAAATATTAAAAAAAATAATTTTATTTATATATTAAGATATTTAAAAATATATTGTAATTGGTAATAGGAAAAAAAAACTCCGGAAAAAAAACCCCATGGAAAAAAATTCAAAAAAAAAGAAAATCGTTATTTAAAAAAAAAAAATTCTTGTCAATTTTTCTTAATTTTTTTTCTCAATTTATATTTTTCTTCCCATTTTAAGTCATTGTTAATCTTTATTTTTCTGATCTTTTCTCAATTTTCACTTAATTTTTTAGTATAACCTAGCAATAATTAATATGATAGCGAATGCCACAATCATTAACAGCTATTAAACTCAAAAAAAAACACAAAATACTTACGAAAAAATATTCGAAGTAATAATGTCTAAATGTCAAGAACGGGATTTATTTCCTGATCCATTATATATACATGGATTTCGAAAAGTCTGCTATGAGAGCGGTTAAAACTGTCATTGGTAAGATTATTAATATGTTAAATTATTTATATTTATTTTTTCAATTAGGGGATCACATCATAATCAGAGAATACTTTTACCATTTGTGTAAAATACTTTCCTGGGGTTTTTTTTCCGGAATTCTTTGTAATTTCTCATAGTTTTATAATCAATTTATTATAAAATTTTAAATCGAATCGTTTACATTTTTTTTTTATGTGCAGGGGTTTAGTGAGATATGGAATTAGTGATATTAATAATTTTATATATTTTTGCATATTGTCATTTGTTTTGAAATTAATTTTTAATTTCGTTCTATCCATACTATATGTTATTATAATCTTAATGTTAATGTTCTCTATAGCTTAAGATTCAATTAGCATTCACGACAAATTTTAAACAGAATCAGAACAAACTAATTATAAATAGCACCTGAAGTGTTAAAAATTTTAAGAACTGGATCTAACCATAACTTATCCATTATCAATTGTGTAACATCTCTTAAACTAATAGGCAATTAGTTGGTCAATAACGATAGGCGTAGCCATAATTTTGTTAAGAGGAGGCGAGACACTTTGTGGGGGTTTCTCCTATAAATTTTATTAGAGATTTTTAGGTTCACTTATTGTAGGCCTTTGGCTATATTATATTTGTATAAAAATAATTTTGGGTTTTTCATTTTTTTTATAAAAATTTTCAATTATAGTCGTTATTTTAAAAAAGTTATTAATTTTTACTACTTTTTCTTTCAAATTCTATAGTGATATATTGTCTATGTTTTTCGAAAGTGGGGGGTGGGAGAACAGACAAATTAGCGATGGGGGTGGGGGCCTACTGGTTACACACATGGTCAGCTCAAAGTACATTTCTTCTATGAAAGATATGTTGAGCCTAAAAATATTGAATAACAGCTTGCACTGCATTTTATCAAATTTTATTTGAAAACTGATTAAGGTTAATTTTATAAATGATAATATTTATTACTACTTTAGGTAAGATCTCATGAGTTCTAGGTTGGGGCCGGCCATATAATATTTTTTAGCTTTTTCACCCCTGGGGAAAGATGGATCATATCATTCCTCCATAAAATTTTACCGATTTTTTAAATTTTAACAGAATTTATACTTAGGGGGTAGGACTCATAATAAATTGATAAATTCAAAAAATGGACATATGATATAATGAGTTGTTTTTTTAACATATAATGAGACTGTTTTTTTTAATCATTAAAATTATAAAGACAATATAGAATTTTATAAATAATTTATATGAACTTTAGAAAATTTTTTTATCCTTCTGGAAAATGATATCTCAGGCAAGAAAAAAACAGACATCATATCTAACTATTTGAGGAATAAATAATTAAATCATACCAACCCTAAGTTATACATAAAATTCGTTGTATCTACTCTCTCTCTCTCTTGTAAATTATTATTAGTAATTACTCTTACGCTGCAATATTTTTTTTGGTAGTTAACAGAAAAGCTATATAAAATTTTTAGTAATAATAAAAAATTAATATAAATAGATATAACTCGATAATCAGTATATTTTGGTAAGTGTTAGTGTCTAGTTCTAAATAGATAAAAAGAGTAAGTGAAATATGAAGATTAACAAAAAATATATCGAATTTAATCAATCATCATCTCAATCAACTTGCTAGATATTAATGTAGTAATAAATACGAATAGACCATTTTTATTTTTATCACATCGAATTTAAAGAAGGACTTATATGGTTCTTTCTTAGTTTTTGACGTGTTTTATATGTATATGGTGAATTCCATATCAAATCAATCAAGGTTTCGACCCGACCCCCTCAGTATTTTTTAAAATTTTGTATATTGGTAGTATATACTATAACTAATAAAATAATGAAAATTTACTTCCTTACACCACTTAATATAGGTGTTTAAAGAGCGGTAGATTGGTACATTTTTGACAAAGTGCACTTCATTAATTTCCAAATATCTCAAGAATAAATTAAGTTAGAGCAATAATTTAAATTATATTATATAGCTTAATAATAGATCTTTAATATGACATATAAATAAATGTGATAGAATCCAGATTAATACCAAAATCAGGAAATACAAAACCGGAAATGGTAATAGAAAAAAGGTATTTTTTTAATTTTGTAGATGTATACAAGACTGCTTTATATCTGCACAAAATCCTAGACTAGGCTAAAGGTGGGTCTAAGAGTTATGACCCTTTATATAGCCAAAATTGATCAAAATGTAACATAAACATCTTTACATTTAAATTTAATAATGGATATTTACTTTCAAATATATTATGTCTAAATGAAAGGCCCTTACTTACTTTATTATTTATAAATTTT